ATTTTATAAATTTTAAAATTATTTTTTAAATAGAATTTTTCATATTTATAAAAATCTTTCCCTTTAATTTTCTCTTTAATTCTTTTAAATTATAAGAACGAATTATTATGTGTACGATTTATAACAATTGATATACAAATAATAAATACTCACCATCAGATTGCTTCGCCGATGCAAGATGCCTCTCCCAGGCCTCCTCCTCCTCTCACAATAGTTTATGAGTCTGTAACATACAAAGAAGATTCAAATTGTAGTCACGGTCAAAACATGATTATTATATGCATTTAATTTTATATCCAACGCACATAAATAATAAGCAGATAAACAATTTTATAAATTTTGAAAAAAATTCTACTAATAAGCAATAATTTAACAATTCTATTAAAAGCTATTCGAACGTAGAAACTTTTAAATTACAGTTTTTATGTAAAAATTTCTCTCTTTTTCTTTTGTTTAGGTAATAATGTAAATAAAAAATCAAATTATGCGATTAATTACTTGATTTAAATCGCGCGTACGCAATTAATATATAATTATATATAAGCGATAATTTATTTACCATAGAGTTACTTCACAGGTGCCTGATGCCTCTCCCAGGCTTCCTCCTCCTCTCATGTTGGCGCGCGATACTTTGACGACACTCTCGCACTCGCGAGCGATATTTTTATATCGCTATTTTCGTTATTTTACGCGCGATACTGAGCGGCACTCCCGCACTATTTCGATGCGATTAAAAATTTTATATTTGATCGCGTGGTGTATATATTTAATATGTATATATCTTTAACGGCACTCCCTAATATGTATATACCTAACGCAACGCGTTGACGAAACGCTTTCCGTCCGCGGCACGTTGACGGCACCGACGACGCGAAAGGGTATTTGGCTTCCCATTCAGGCACCTTAAGATTTATCATAAATTGGAAAATTCAAGATAAACCTCAAGGCACCGTCCAGATACTAAGCCCTCCCACCGCGACAAGGTGTACCCCATGGGAGGGTTATATTATATTATATATAATTTTATATACAATATAATATATAATTAATTTTGTAATATACTATATAAATTTTAATTCGCAAATATAAACGATGAATAAAAATATAAAAGATAAGAGATAATCTATTATATAAAGCAATGTTCAAAATAATTGTTAAAGAAAGAATTTGATAATATATGGAACGTCTCACATCACTATCTCACTGTTCGAAGGCCACTGAGGGAATGATGACGTAGGTAGAAACATTATCGCGGTACTGTTTATATCACCAAGATTGACTATGTAGAGAGAGAATTTGATAATATATGAAACGTCACTACTTTATTGTTCAAGGTTACAGTGCGAATGATCGTAAGTCATAAAACGTTGAAATATTCTATGAATAATTGTCGATTAAGAAAATTTAAAGCATTGGTCGAAATTTATTCAATTTTAATAAGTATTGTTAGAGAAATTATTATAATAAGCATCAATAATCAAAAGATCATAATCAAATTAATTTCTTTATCCCCTTTTATATTCCCTTTTTCAATTTTTATTCACAGTAATTAATGATAGCGATTCGATAAAGATTTATCGTTGCGATACATTTTCATGACCTTTACCATAAGTTAATTTATTTTTAATATGTTCGTCATCGAAATATTTTACGTATTTTAACATATATATATATGGAATATAATATATTAAAGAATATACAAGTATTTTAAAATATATAGATTTTTTAATTATATGATTATATATTTATTAAAAGATTGATGTATCATGGAGTCTTTCATTATGTTAATTATTTAGATACACGACTCAATTGTTTTACTGCGTATTCCTACAATCCAAATTATATTTAAATATTTATAAATATTGAAGAAATAATTTCTGTGCTCGTAAAAACCGATTTTATATCGAAATAATAATTTATTATTTTAGATTTCTGTTACTATGATTCTTAGTTGATTAAATGAATAAATTATGAAATATATAATTCAAGAATTTTCGTCGCGATATATATATATATATATATATATATATATATATATATATATAGAGAGAGAGAGAGAGAGAGAGATATTAATTATGTGTTATTTATAAAAATTAATTAATCATATTGTTATAATAAATAATTTTCCGATGTTGATCACGATCGTATCTATAGAACAGAAATTTAACGGCGTATCATTATATTACATATTAGAAAATATTAAACAATAGGATATGAAATTATACATAAATCGTTTCACAATCGACATGCAGATATTACAAAATGCTATCTGCATCTGATTTATATAATTTCAAATGTTGTTGTCTAATATTTTCCTACGTGTAATGTTAATGTCACGTTGAAGACGGATTAAAAGGTGAACTCGAAACGTTCGTATTTATTGCATGTATTGTGACGAGTAGTTTGAAATATACTAATAATTTGAAATATGTATATTAATAATTAAAAGAAAGAGAGAAGTTTTTTTTTGCTTCAATTACTACGTCTACATCAATCAAAATCGCCTATATATTTAAAAAATCTAGCTTTTTCCTGTTTTAAATTATACTGATTTAAATACGGGTCACTCCAAGTTTTCATATCTTGCTTCGACTTGAAGGTCATTTATGCGATTTAGAATTTGTGTAAAACTTTTTTAAATTATATACATCATATAAAAAATGCTTTAGAAATTAAAGTAATCTTAACTCATTTAGTATCGATTATAAATGAATATCACATAATTTATTGTACTTGGCTAATATTAGTATTGATCTCATTTTTAAATACTAACTTTTAGATTTTTTGATCTTTTTTATGTACTTGGCGTATTTTTTTACCTTTATAAAGTTTTTTTTTTAGAGGATCTCACTACTTTTTATAAAAAATATTATTTCTACAGAAAATATATGTTAGATTTGTTAGATATTTTTTTATGTAATTGATGTATTTTATTTTACCGTTATAAAGTTGTTTCTAGAGGAATATCATCACCTTTTTGTAAAAATTTATTTCTGCAAAAAATATATACACATTTTTAAAAATCTTTACTAAAGGTAAGTTGTGTATTTTTACAAGGTTTCATTTTCTAGATATTAGAATTTACTCCCAAGGGGTGGTTTTTGAATATTGTTATAATACGATAATTTAGTCTCCTTAGAAGTCTTATTTAACGGCACAGTTTTTATACTTTTGTGATACCATTTTTGAGATAGATTAGATTTTACCCCCAAGAGGTTTTTGAAAATTGTTATGCGATAAATTAATAGGAAAAATAAATAACATTCCTGTTAAAAAAGATATATTATAAACATTATAATTATAAATATATATTATAAACATTAAATAATAATTAAATAACTAAATTATATATGTGAATTTTACTTCATGTGTCAATCCTTTTATCATGCAGAGAATTGATCGGTATATAAATCTCAATTATTTGGATCGACCATATTGAAGACTCGAATATAATGTATATAATAATAATAATAATAATAATAATAATAATAATAGTAGTAATAATAATAATAATAATAATAATAATAATAATAATAATAATAAATACGTAGCTTTAATAATAATAATAATAATAATAAATCCTTACTACATAATTTCAGCTTTTAATTTGCTTTAATTGTACACATTATATTCGGACCTTCGATACGGTCGATCCAAATAATTGACATTTATGTACCGATCAATTTCTCGGATCCAATTTTATATCAGTTTTTTATGTACTTAACATCGTGACGCTACCGCGTCACTTGATTTATTAATATTTATAGCAAATTATATTTTGATACTAATCGTAATCGTGTTAAGTAAAAAATTACAATATATACAAAGCATTTTTCACTGTTATTTTATTATTCGAGAGTCATCGTGCGAATGATGACAAAATTTTAACATAGCGCGTTACAGTTTATATTTTGTATATATTTATTTATATTTTACTTATATTTTATTTATATTTTACTGTTTATATTTTGTTTATATTCCAAAGTCGAACACCGTGTTATCGATAATTCGTTGCCGAAATATTTTATATATTATAAAATATAAACGCTAACGCGGAATATTAAATTATGGAAGTATTTTAATTTATTGATTAAAATTGATTATTTATTAAACAATTTATCACGGAACCTTTCGTTATGCTATAAAATTTATTCGATTATTTTATTTTCAAATTTTATAATATTTAGTTTTGCATTTTAGAAGACTAACTTAGAGTGAGCTAAATAAATAAATAAATAAAAAATAAATAAATAATGTTGAGAAGAAAAAGAAGACACATAAATAAATAAATAAATAATAGCGTGGAAAGAGAGAACATACTAATATTTTTAAATAATAAATTATTATTAATTAAATTATTTATGTTTTTATTTATATCATTTATATTATCAGGGAGACATATATGTTACCCTCTGAGAACATTTGTGGACATTGGCTTTGTAGCTCATGTTCACGTTTTTAATGTCCACAGGGGAGTATCACTTCCTGGGATCACCTAAAAGCAGGCCATGACACCTCTCAGTCTTCTCTCTCATGTGCATCACTTTAGTTACCATTATCCGGTAACTATAATAATTAATAGATTTATAATTTTCCAAATTATCGACTATACGTAATAATGGTAAGTAACTTTATCGATATTTTGTATATTATTTACTTATCACTAATCCAAAATGTAAACAAATGAAAAAATTTAAGTTAAAAGAATTAATATATTCTATGGTTTTTTATTTTATTAAAAAAAAAAGAATTGTATGTGTGAAGATATTTTTCAATCATAATTAATATAATAAATACAAAAAAATTTCCATAAAGTATTTTAGAAATATATATAAAGTCGATTTAAACGATAGAAAGTAACATAATAATGTTAAATAAAAATCAGAGAAACATAATTGAATGCCAATAAAATATTATTTATATTCTATTATAAGCATTACATAAAATTAATTTTGTATAATAACACATCAATTCTTGTCTGCATATAATGAATTTTTATTCCATTATCGTAATTATTATCGTAAATTTACATTATTAATCAAACTTTGGTTTCAAATGATTTATCCGTCTGCTTTTAATAAAGACAGAAATATTTTTCATATTCAATATATAACCGATGTAAAACAAAAGAGTGAAACCTCCACTCAGATATAGATATATTGCATAATAATCTATCCATGACATATCTCGTCCGTGATACCGTAAATGTCTCGAATTTGGAAATTTTAATACGTGCTCTACATTCCACACTGCTCTCTCTATTGGCTTTATCAATTCAGCTTCATCTTGCACAATTGCCGATATTGTCTTGATATTGTTCAGATACCTGTAATTAGAATTTTTATCAAATACTATGTATATATCATATTAATTGTATTTTTTAAAATCGAAAATTTACAAACACATTAGGACAATGTCAAAAGTTGTAACTAATATTAAAAGTTATTTTACCTAATTTATCTAATTTTATCTAACTAATATTAAAAGTTATTTTATATAATTGTTACATAGTTGAGGAACTTGAAGAGATTAAAACGTGCTGGCTCACATGAAAAATAATTTAGTCTCATACAGTCTCACAGATTGCAAGTCACTTAACTTTTTAGACACATCCATCATGCATACGGTTAAAGAATATCGATTGAAATATGACGAAGTCGAGGAATTAATTTTTCAAGGATTACATTGTCGAAGCCGATTCCATGTTAGAATCACGCTCGTACTCACGTTTTATTTTCGACGATCTCTCGGAGCGTTTGTACGATAGTGCTCTCGGTCATGGTGTCGATGTCCAGTGTCAGCCCGATACCGGCGTCTAGGATTTTACGTGCGTTGAAAAGTTGATCCCCGAAAAAGGGAATTGCGACTACCGGAACCGAGTAGTGCACTGCCTCTTGCAACGACTGCAATCCGCCCTGCATCACGTACGCCATCACCCTGGGATGCGCTGCATATATATATATATATATATATATATATATATATATATATATATATGTAATGTGAAAGCGGCGTAAGTACATAAAGTATCGTTAAATGATGCTTCGCGATTATTTGCCGCCGAGCATTTACGAGGGGGGCGAATTGCGTGGGACGCTATAAAAAAAAGAGCACGCGACGAAAAAAAAGAGGGAAGAGAGAGAAAAAGAGCGACAAGGGATGAAACAAAGTTCCAGAGACGGTTAATCACGAGCGAGCATGAGAGATACGAGATTTCATAAAAATGTCCGCATTGTCGCATTTATTTATTTATTTTTTTTTGTTGCGTCGCTCTTTACGGCCGATTGATCGCGTTCGACTATTAACGCGCGCGGGGAATTTTCGACAGAATTCTGCACCCGATGTGCACTTTTTTGCACTCACCAATGTCGAAAGGGCATGTTTTTTTTCATTACGCATAACGCGATACACTTCCGCGATCAGAGAAATATTTTACCTCTTATTGGAAATTTGTGTGCAACAGTTATATATTATTCTTACTCTATATTTTCTTTCAATATATATACATATAAATTTCAAAATTTTTTCAAAATGGAAACGGAAAGTTTTTCAATATATAATATATATAATTACATAAATAATGTATATATAATATATATATATTAAAATATATATATAATATTTATATAATATATATAATTAAATTTTTCTAAATTAAACAATAAAATCTAATTTATTTAAATTCAAGTGAAAAATTTGTCATTAAAATTGGATGAAAAATTTTTTGTGATATCAAAATATTGTAGAAATCGATATATATTGAACACAAACACATGCAGCGAAAGAGTAAATCGTTAGATATTAAAATCGTTGGAGTTCCGATATTCCCGTATAATTGCGTCATTCCTTTCACTTATCAATACGCATTTCCAACATTATATTCTTTGTGGAGGCTGCCGGTGCCTGTCTATCATTGTGTATAAAACTTTGTGCACGCTTGTGCATTTGCATCGAGCCCGTTGCGTTACTGCCAACAGGAGTTGTTTGTCAGAATTTCCCGCGAGAATTTCACCGCTGCATGCGTCATGAGTTATCGTTTCGTTTCGTTCTGCCATACGAGCCCGTGACCGTATTTTCCTTGGTCGCGACGGTGTTGCTGGCAATTTTTTTCTTTTTTTTTGTTTGTTTCAAATACTTACCTTTAAGCGGCTTCCACAAAAGTAGCGGGTTTCGCTCTTCCAAAGGCGCGAAAGGGAGTACTGGTATCGACAGGTGCGTATCGGCCTTTCTTATATTCTATGTTGCTTTTCTCTTTGATGTAAGAAAGGAAGGCAAATGTTGATCGAATTGAAACGCCCGAACAACGTGATTTCGACCTCGAAAGAGAGAGAGACGATTTTCATGATCATTTCGAAACGCGATTTTGTTCGGAAATCCAGCCAAAACCGAAATTTTTCAAAGAGAAATTTGCTCCATTTTTTGCGATTCTTAAACGATACTAAAAATATCGAGTATAATGCAATTAAGTTTGAATCATTTAAAGATTCCAGATGAAGAAAAAATTATATTCTAAAAAATATTGCGTCTAGGAAAATATCTTTTATAGATGATACCGACATAAAAGTCAAAGACGCAGCTTTGTGGAACGTTTGTATAGTTGATACGTCGTCGTCGTCGTCGTCCTTGTTGTCATTATTCCAGTCTTCGTTATGTTGAATTCTGCTTAACGAATCCGCCAAGAACGGTGAATCTGGGCGGTTGTATGTTAACGAAATAAGAGTGTAATCGTTAACGATTCAAGTATAAGTTTCCCAACTCGTTTATGGTATAATAACGAACGAGTAGTCGAGCGCTTTGGCAATATACGAGCTTCTTACGGGATCGTTATCGAACAATTAAGTTGGAATTTTGCATTTCGCTCATGCTGGAAAAGTTCCGGTACATTTCAAGGTAGTAAGATGGCCTCAGTGATTACCATTTGCGATTAACGACTATGGCTGAATTGATTAATGATGTTTACTATATTGATCTATATTATTGATAATGTAATTAAATGTCTTTGAGAAAGAAACATAGACCAAAGTTCACAATTCCTCTCTTCTTAATTTTAATAATAAATACTATAATCAATTTCAATGTTATAACTAATTCATTTTTTAAATTATTTAGCATTAAAAGTGATTAAAATATAACATCAATATTACTTTAAATCTTTTCCAAATACCTGTTAATACCTTTTTTTCCAAATGTTGATATCTGATTATGATGATATTTAAATATATATGTTTTTATTATTGTTAAATATATCAAAAAATTGCAAAAGTATATTGACATTTTTTTGAAATTTTTCCTGAGGAACAGATTTTTTCTTGAACTCGGTGAAGCATTTATTATTAAAATTCGAAGCAAAAATAAATATATTATGATAACACACATATATACAGAGAAAGAGAGAAGAGGGGGAGGAAGGGGAAGATAAAGATAAAGAATTGGAATAAGATTGTGCGAGGTAAATTCTCACGGTCTATTCTTCTCGCAATCTTATTGATTTCCTATTTGCATGCACACACAAAGAAATTCCGAGATAAAATACTTCTCATCGAAACGCTTTGTAAATGCATATTTCGCGGCGGTTGATCCGCTTCTTTCGGAGCGAACGAGGTAAAGAGGTGGTCAGTTTAGCCTTAGGCAGTCTTACCGAGGACCGCTTGCTGGGGCGCCCACTTCACAAATTTGACGTTGGTCGGATGAATGGCCATGTAACCGTCATGTTTCAATAGAACTCTTTGCTTGAGCGAACCTAGGGCGTTGCACAATGCGGTCAGAGGCCCGGCGGGTAGCTGGTGAGTTTGTAGATTCGAACCCAGAGAGAAATAAATGGCACCATCTCGTGCGTTGTCCAGAAATTCTTGAATCTCCTGAAATCACAATGAAAATTTCGATCTTAATAACAAGGATAAATAAGGTAGATTGAAAAATATGATAGATACAATAGATGCAACATATTTTTTTTGGCTAAACTAATATACAGGGTGTTTCTTAATAAGTGTGAAAAATTTTAGGAGATGATTCTTTGTCGAAAATTAAGGGGGATTTTTCATATAAACATATACTCCTACATCCCTCCCTGTGAAGTTACACTCCTTCAAAAATGGAAGTACAAATTAGGTTTTTATTTTTTTTTTCAAAATTGAAACAAGTTAAAGAAATGAAATTAGGCAGATATTTTTTACTAATAAAAAGGTTATTTATTAATATTTTTTGTTATAAAAGGATGAAACTAGCAACCCTTATTTAAATTTTTATTAGAACTTTTTAATGAAAAACGCTCCTTAATTTTCGATAAAAAATCATCTTCTAAAATTTTTCGCACTTATTAAGAAACACTATGTATATTTAATAACAAGTGATACAAATATTAAGAAAAAATTGAAAATCTTTTTTTATTATGTTCAAATTGAAATATTTAATACTGACATGATTAATTTTTCATTGGAATTTTATGCTTATACTTTTGTGCAGGAAATCAACTTTAAATATGAAAAAATTATCCAAAACAAAGTATTTAACATATAAAGCATATAACTTTCCTTTTTGCCAAATTGTAATTAATATAACATAAATAAAAATTGTAAATAATTCTACGTTTCGTTGCAATCAGAATAATTGAATATTGTCATTTTGTCATATAATGGCATTAATATTTTATAAAGTACATACTATTTGTAATTATTCTTCGCATTTGCAAGATTACGTTAATGCTACGACACTAGATGTAAATGGAACCGATTGCGCTATTAATGCGACTGATATTACTGATAATACAACTTCCTTTGTTAATTGCGAAACCTGCACTGGCTTTTCTGGTAAACATGGCGATGGTAATTTCATATATGCATAGTATGTAGCCGAAGGCTTTGTCCTATTAATTACAACTGTTCATGGATTTCGATACGTTTTGGTGTATCTGTATAAAGATGAGCACACATACATTGTCGCGGTCACGTTTCGCATCTCGACATTGTTCGAGAATCATGTGGTAACTGCAGTTATCTTATGTCTTCTCGTGCATAGTGATAACTTAGATAACTTTAATTGCGTTGGGAATAAAAAACTGCTATTTAACTTTCTGTATCTTCTATTGAAGTACAACTTTTACGATTTTTCTTTTTAATATTTATAAATTTATTATATATTTCTTGATAAATTCAAGGTAAAATTATTAATATATATATGTGACTAACGTTTCAATCAAATTTCAGTTCAATTTTAAATTAAAAGAAATGAATTTTAATGTGATTGAATAATATCGTTCATATACAGGGTGTTTCTTAATAAATGTGAACAATTATAGGAGATAATTTTTGTTAAAGATTAAGGGGGAGAGGTTTCATATAAACATTAAAAAGTTCTAATAAAAAATTGAATAGGTTGCTAGTTTCATCCTTTTATAACAATATGGGAGGCTGAAAAAAATATTAATAAATAACCTTTTTATTAGTAGAAAATATCCACCTAATTTTATTTCTTTAACTTGTCCCAAATTTGAAAAAAAAATAAAAACTTAATTTTTATCTCCATTTTTGGAGAAGTGTAATTTCACAGGAAGAGATGTAAGAGTATATGTTTATGTGAAAAATCCCCCTTAATTTTCGACCAAAAATTATCTCCTAAAATTTTTTGTACTTATTAAGAACATTCTGTATATATTTATTCCATCATGGCTTGCATTTTTTGGACTTAAATTAAGTTGTTGTAAACAAATATAAAATATTCCGATGATATGCTAGATTGACATCGGAGAGCACAAACAGCTACTGTAATATTATATAAGAGCGTGACTCCGCAGTTATTTTTTTCTACGTGAAGGATTTTTAACGAAATAATCTTTCTATTTTTCTTGCCAACTCTGGGGACTTATAACGGTTTGTGGTAAATAGTAGTGACGTTTTACGTCGCTGCATTGGTAAACTTTCGCCAACTGACTATTACTTGGTCACCTGTGAGAATAGTATATATATCCCCGAGAGAAATCATTCTCGTACGATACACCTATTTCGTCTTTTCGTATTTAGAAGTACGAGAAGCGAGGATTTAATCGATGTAAAAGCACTAACTTTCAGAGAAAAGATAAATTTTGAAATGCCAAAGTGTACTTAACTCCGTAAATTGCTCGGTTCTACTGTCTTTTATAACGTGTCTATTTTTATCTGATGATCCCGATTGAAAGTCGCTTAAAATAAGTAGATATAATGATAATGAAGATAATTGTTAATATTAATCTACAATTTTGCATTTGAAATAAAAGGTATTTCAATATTGCCGTCGTTTTAACATTTTCTCTGGCCAACTTGAAATAGATTTTTTTTCAATAAAAATGTCGAGAGAAAAAAGTCATCATTCTTTGCAAGTTTTCAATTTTTTCCATATCCTTGTAATTCTAAACCTTAAATTAAAATTCTTTTAAAGTAAATTTCGCCTGATATTAATTGAAAAAGTGTAGTTTTGTTGTACCTTTTAATTTTATAAAGTTTAGTTTGCGAGAAACTTCTCTTTTCCAATTGCTTAAAACTCGAAAATTACTGACATTTTTGCTAAGGAAAAATTGTTCAAATTAACTATAAAATTTCCTATTAGAAACTATTTGATGATTTTGGGACACCTATCTTGGAAAATGAGATTACATTGTATTGATATAAATGTAACTTTGTGTGTCACACAATGTGTGCAATTAAATTCTAATTATATTATCTAGAAAAAATAATTGATAACTCTAACATTATTATTTTTTTGCTATTGCATAATTCTTCAAAATCTTTATAATAGATTTATAATAGATTATTAATAAATGTAAAATCTTTTTATAATATATTTTTTTTTACCTCAGTCAACGGCTCGGATTTTTCCGAAATTTGCAAACTATGAACTTCTATCACATGTGGTAGTAGTGGTTTCGGATAACCGAATACATGATTGTTACCCAAGATTACCAAACTGAAGTTTTTATCGATATCGTAAACGGATACACCGGATGTCCATTCGTTAGCGATGCGTTGAGCCCTTGATAAGTGCCAGTATCGATAATATAATCTTGTCCATGTTGTATAAAGGATATTTTGTATACGCTCAATAATTGTCATTTTGTTCGTGAATGGATACGCCATATCTGGATTCAAATTAGGATCGTCTGGGTTTCCTGCAAACATATAAACATTTTAGTAGCATTTTTTGTGTGAATAAAATTACATAGAATTTAAAAAACACATCATATAATGAAATATTTTTGTTGCAATAATATAAATCACGAGTATAAAATGCGTTAACCTGTGTCCATATAGAAAAAACATTTAATTCTAAAATGTATAAAAATTTTTAATATAATATCGAGTTTTTTGAATATAAACTACATGTAATTTTACGTTACTTTTAAATTTATTAATTTATTAATTATTTTAAATATATTAATTAATTTTAAATATATTTAATTAATTTATTATTTATTAATTATTAATTATTAATTATTAATTTATTTATACTATCTTTTGTTGTTTTTTTTCGAATGAATAAAGATGATAATACGACAAGTTTTCTTGCAAATCAAGAAAGAGAAGTTCGATGTATTCAGATAATTTTTTAGAAAATCAGTGATTCAGCCAAATCAATGAAGAACGTTACTACTCCGATACGCACGATAGTTCGTTCGGCTTTAATTGAAATATTTTAGTAACAGCCACGGCGATCTATTTCACGGTCTATTACGCTCATCCGGAAGAGTACTTTCGGGTATCTTCAATTACGTCGAGGTAAAGAAATCGAATGGCGGCGAGCTGGCGCGTCGCATCGTCCTTTGCCACCTTTTCTCCACCGTTCTTCAGGTCGGACCGGTACAAGTTAAAGCACTACCGAGTAATCTATCCTTTTCCACCAAGATCTGGTCTCCGATTGCTCGCACTTTCTGCTTTACCAACGATTTACGTCAATTTCCGTTCGCGGTAACGACGTTCGTGCTACCTCGTGGGGATGCGAATCCAGTGAAAAAAAAAGAAAAAAAAATTCGCGTTGTATCCTCGAGCTCCGAACGATTTTTGCAAACAACGAAATTTTTAGTACGATAAAATTGTGCAACCTCCTCGGCTTGCACGGCATGCTTACCTACGGAATCCATTACGTAGGGCAAGTTGCCTACGCTCAAAAATCCTATCAGCACCGGGAAATTGTAGTGCTTTACGAGGACGTAATAACACTGGAACCATAATTGTTCTATAATGATCGCGTCGAATGTTTTATTGCCCCTGCAAGCAAACGCGAGGTAGATTTGTTTTAGCGAAAAGAGTAAGATTATTAAAGCCGTCGTGACTTCATCGGACAATAAAGATTCCTTGATAATTTATATCCCAGAATTTCTTATGGCTAATGACGGCTTTGATCTATTTAAAATGTTTGTAAAATTTCCGATTATTTTACGCACAGATAGAATTTAATATAAAAATAGATTGCTACCATTTACGGATATATTATAGTTAAATAATGTTTGTATTACGCTATCAGCTTGTCGATGGCAGGACTGAATAATTGCTCCCTGCATAATTCGTTTGCCTCCCACATATTTTTGTGAAGCAACGTATAGGCTCCCATATGTCTATCAAGGATAAAATTCGAGATTATTAATATGAGAAATTTGAAAGATTCTATACATTAATTGCATAAAATATGATATACCTTAATCCTGTGCAATCCTTCTTCCGATAGGAAAATGATAAGTCAACGTTTTCATAATTCGATGGAGGATTCTAGGGAACAAAAAAAATAAAAAGAAAAGATATAAATTTCACATTTGATATTATACAAAATACTAGACTAATATTTTTAGGCGTCAATTATAAAAGTAACGTGAATAATAAGGTCAAATACAGTAAATGTTACTTTTAAACTCTATAAAAAAATGATAGGAAAGAGCATTTAAAAACTGAATCAGTAATTGTTGCGAATTTAGAGGAAAAAGCAATTCAGTACCGCGATAGTCTGTGTGCAAGGCAATTATGCTTTCGTTAGTTAGGTTTTATCCAGTTTACGTGAACAATTTAATCTCTAATTTTGCCGCGAAAGAAACAGGACCATCAAGCCGTGAGAAGACACATTCAGCAAAGAGAAATGTTAGTAGAAGTAAATTGAAGCTAAACGAAGTTTGCGTAACTTTGAACTCGAGTTTAGAAAGAGAGAGAAAGAGAGACGGAAAAGGGGAGGAAAGCGAGGAAAAGAGTACATGAGACTGTAGATAAGGGAAACGAGTGAGATGTCAGAGGAACGATCCGAGAGGATTTGAGAGAAGGATGTCAGTGTCAGAAAAAAAGCGAGTAAAGAAAGTGTAATAGTGAAAAAAAATATGAAATAAGAGGAATAAAAAGAGTATTTACCTCTTTATATCAATATTCTGATGTTTTTCTATTATTGTAAATTAAAATTTATTTGAATAATGATTTACCCCCGAGAGCGAAAAATGAATAAAACATTATTTACAAATTCAGCCGTGGTAGTTTTAGTTTGGTTGTATATCTAAACGGACCAGAGAAATATCCAAAATATTGTTAAAGCCGCAAAGTTTATCGAGACTCGAAAATAACTGCGTATTTTCAAGAAAACGATGCAATATCTCGCAACGAACACACACGGCTTTATGGTTATTCCTTTTCATAAGCGCCGATAGGCAAGTGTTAAATCATAACGATAATTGAGAGGAAAAAAAAGGAAGCTGATATAGATTTTTTGTGACAGTAAATTTCTCGAACAAACGAAAACATCTTTTTGAGTCGTGAATAAAGCAAATGAAAATTATAATATTGAAGAAAATAAAACTACGTAGGAAATATCTCGAATATAATGAACACTATAGTCTCATTTTCAAAGTGCTTCGCATACAATGCCTAACATACAAATATATTATTATTTTTATAACGTTTTCATGTATTACATTTATGTCACCTTTATAACTTAACATTTTGTATATGTCTCTTAGAAATGGAATATTATTTGAGTATTTTTAACATAATCATTTTAAACAATCAACATGTCTCAAAGTCAGATTAACATTCTAAAAAAAGTTAAAGTGAATCTTCAAATAATCTTAAACTTTGGCATACAAAAATAATCAAATTTACTAAAATCAAATGTTTCTATTACAACTAATTTAAGTTGAAATAATTATTATTATATGTTAATGTCCTCAACATTTCTTACGAGTTATTGTAACTATTTTTTCATGTAATTTTTAATTAATTTGTATTTTTATTAATTTCTTATTTTTACATATATTATATTTAAAGTCAATACTTAAAATCAATTATTTAACATTTTCAGTTTGTCAACAAGTAACATACGACGAATGAGTTATTTTAATTTAAAATTTAAATTGGACTTTCTGGGACATGTGAAAAATGTTATAATTAACATTTTATTTTTTACTGTGTATCACACATGAAATCTTTATCAGTTTCTTTTATATATGTATATAAAATAGATGACAAACAAAGCGTAGTAAAAAAAAAATAAATAAAGCTTTATATACCTTTAGAGGAATTGTTGATGCTACGGTAATCCTGTGGCCGCGAGCCGCCAATGCCTTCATCAATGCTTGGAAGGGTTGTTGGTGGCTGTAACTCGCACTCGGACAAATACCTAGAATATTGTATCCGTGGATATGCTGGAAGGCGCGGAATAGCAAAATTGATAGCAATACGATCGTCACGACGTGCATCTTGGGCACAGAACACTTTCGTTCGCGAATGCGAAACGGCCGTTCAATCTTTCAGGGAAGAATCGAGGCTGCCGGTTTCTCGCGAGAATTTTTAAAAAGAACCCGAGCGACGGAAAAAAGACGAGGGCGATACGTATGAAAAATTCAATACATGTTCCACGATCAGTTTGCTTGGGGCGACGGTAAATAAGTGAACGAGTTGTCCATTGGTCGGATGCTTCTCACTCAGCTTTACGAGAGAAATAATTCAGGCCTCGTGTGTGCGACGAGCGCAGACCCTTTTTATATTTCGTCGAGAATACAAAGACGGCATTCACGCATGAGCGATGCGTTTCGATGAATCCATTTAGTTATCTTTTGATAAAAATAGAAATAATCAAGTGTAATCACAACTTTATCATCAACATATAGAATTACTAGGAATTGACACATCGCTGAAAAATGATAGAGTAGAATAGAAATATATATATGAGACCTTGTATGATATTATCAATAAATGTCAAATTAATTAAACTGACTGGAATTGATAGATGTAATTAAAAAAATAAAGAATCTTATTACAGCATAAATATATTGGATTACATTATATAAATTCCAATTTTTTTATTTATTATTTCTGTGTATATTGTATTTTTAATAAAATTTTATTTATTTATTTTTATGTTGGTATTTCCGCAAGGTTAACGTCGACACGCACAACAGCGATGTGCAGATTTACATTATGTAATGTTTTTATATATTTATATTTTTTTTATTTTATATATAAAATATTCAAATATTACGCACAAGACAGGAATAGATAATAGGCGAAAAAAAATATAAATGTACAGAAACATGGTTGGCTGGAAGGAGACAAATCACTCACTGATACGCCATTACCTTCGACATATGACTCGCCTTTTCTCTTCTCGTTACAAGGAGAAGACGTCCTAAGTTGAGCGTAAAGGTAACGCTGTTGATGGAAACGAAGAAATATCGGTGCCTCATTTCTCGAAACAGGATTTTTCGCGTCTCTAGATCAAATTTATTTAGTCTCTTACCCAATTACGCCAACTTAATCAATACCTTTTTTGTCATACAACGACACCATCTACGATATAACTTTTTATCGTAACTTACTAACTTATCTAATTTACTTATTCATGGAAAAAACTAAAAAGAATTAAAAGAAAATAAAATTTTTAAATACACAGAAAAATACAATCGAAAATTTTCGTGTTTCTTTTTTCGACGCGATTTTATAGGACAAGTAAAATCGTACGTGGTTGTTTGATGCTTGTGGTGAGACAAATTAAAAATTTCTGACAGCTGCGCTATCACGCGATCGGCAAAGGGAAAATGTCCCGGCCCGAACACAAAAGATTTTTGCATGGCTGTCGTAAATACGAGTTTAAGCACGGCGCATTACTTAGAGCTGTAATAACGCTGAGATACGAAAAGCCTCTCGTTAATTCGAGCCCGCGTGAGCGTCGCCTTGATGTAAAAGCCGAGAGCAGTGCATCATGGACGTTGTCTACCGGAAAAGTCGCGAAAAGTTGCCTTTCAGACCAGGCCACGCTTTCTGCGCACGAGATTTACTAAGAATAATTATAAGCAGGGGCTTTTTGAAACTATACACGACCATGCTTTCGTATTACACGTTGTGGATAATTATGGTTTTCACTCATATTCTACATTAACCGTTCGTACGCACTTAAGCAAAATTGTATCGATCTTTACAAAGCGTAATTTTTTTGAAAAATTTTTTTGAGAAAATGTTGAAACTATTCTTGTAATTATTCTCCTTACAGTGTTAGCACGAGACTATAAATGTGACATGTTGTTTGTCAAAAATATCTGTTGTTAGAATTAAATTGTATATATTTTGATTATATTTTAATATGTTTTTCTATGCTTGAAATTATCATTAGAGACTTTGCATGCTTTTCGAGACGATTTCATGAATTTAATAGAGTTGTGCTATAATTTTAAAGAGTTCCGTTAACATCGTAGGCAAATTTGAATCACGTGTCAGAGTCAGATGCGTCTGATAAGGGTTAAAAGTACTTTTAATAGAGCCGCGGTTGAGGTTCATCTTGAAACTTGACGATAGGATAGGAATGAGGAAGAATGAGGAAGAATGACTAAAAACTGACATAAGTTTGGAAAACTAACCAAAACAGAAAAATGAATAACTTTTAACGTGCAATATCGGAGCGATTATAAGATAGCTATTAAGCTTAACATAATTTTTTATCTTATATATTTTCAAACTTTTTTAATATAAACATTTTCCTAGTAATATCATTTCTGCGATAAAGAGAGTATCCTTAAAAAAATAAATAATACTTTGAGCAATAGTAATTATAATTGAAATAAACTTTAAAAATTTGACATCTGTACAACAGAGCACAGAATTACATTTACGTAAGATTTTAATTGGAATGATATATTATCGTGTTATGCATTATTATAACAATGTCAAATATTATCTGTTGAACAATTTATCTCATTTAAAAATATAATTTTATATAAATAGATAAAGTATAAAAATATTAAAACGATATTTATGGAATATATGATTTTTATCATGAAATATGCGTCTCCAGGTTTCTTGAAATAATGATATCCAAAATACGATATCAACGTATGTCGAATAAAGTTATCAATAATCAAATTCGATTATCACAATTTGCACTTGTGTTTACATCATACTGTGTATCATACTTTCTACGAGCCTCGCATACGAACGTTAATCCGCCTGTTGCGACTGTCACGCATGACAAGACGACAGGAGCCAAGCCTGGCTGGATCCGAATGGTCGATCGGACAGACTAGGAGGACATTTAGGATATCTGTCATTTGCGGTTTAAATTACTCCGTGAATAATACAATATGTTCTGGACTCTGTAGCGCCACGGGGTGCGCGAGCGTCGAGGCAGGGGGGATTACGAGACGAAGGGGGGGGGATGGCAGAGGGATGAAAGAGGAGACTGAGTACGCGCCGGGGTAGGTCGTGCGCCTGCTTTTGTCAAGCCGCAACACGAGCCGCGGCTTTAATACAATACAATACTGTCGAGAGGGTGGAGATGAGAGGCAGTGAGCCGAAGAGAGAGAGAGAGAGAAAGAGGAAGATAGAGTCGGAGAGAACAACTTATGCTCGCGGTTGCGAGTGTAAGAGGGAGAGGGAGAGAGAGAGAGAGAGAGGGAAATTCGGTACGACAGCAAAATGCTGTGTGTGTCAGTAAGTAACCGTCTAGATTTGTACGCCCCCTCACCATCCTGGAAAACCCAACAGACTGCCAGAGGACGTGTCAGATTCAGCAGCGTATGTTTTGCAAGAGCCTTACTACCCGTTTCTCCTCTTTTCTCACCACCCTTTCCTCCTCCTCTTCTTCTCTTTCTCCTTCGCTTTTTCTCCCTCTCTCTCTCTGTCTCTGCTGTATCTCTTTCTCTTTCGTATCCTGTTTCGCAGTTACAGGGACGCATCTACGGAAATTGATGGAGCTTCAAAGATGAAATTTCAAAGCCACAACTATTATAGGTCTCAAGATTTTCAGTATTTTAAGCAAAATATTTGCCAATTTTTTAAATTATATATTGTGTAAAATTTCTTTCTTTTATTCAATCCTTCATCCTTGAAGAAGACAGTAAATTAATTTTAAACTTTGAGGAATCATCACTTGTCAAATTGAAGTTCGCAAATCTAATTTAAAAAATTTTTTTCATTTATTATGCAGAAAATTGAGAAATTTATTTTTCTTAATAAACGTCTGCTTAATTATCTTTCTATCGCAGATTCCCAAGAGTTATTAGCTTCTCGAGTCTGGAAAACTCACTATACATCCCTGTACAATTGTACACTTGCAAATCTGTCGCTATAATTCCCTCGCCACCTGCATGAGCTATCCTTCTCGCGAATTCTGAGTTTTTGTGACGGCGCTTATGCAAGCGGAATCTCGGGTATCTGCGGCTAATTTCGCGGATCCTACCGAGTTTCCTGCACGAAGAGACCCTCACCATATGGCGCGGTTCGCGAATCCCTGCTGTTCGTTAATGTTTTGTTCCGGATTGCAATCCTACGGCTGATTTTGTCATTACTGCACACCTGTATAGCACGAAATAAATGTCCTGAGTTTAATGTATCTCTTTAAAGCCTTGGCAGACATTTTTTCTGCGCGCGATTAATACATTTCTGAAACAGCTGATATGATTATTTTATCGCTTTCAAATTTGATTATTATATATATTTAAATATATTTTAAATATTAATTATTAATATTTAAATATTAATATTTTTAATTATTAATATTTAAATATTAATATTTTAATTATTAATATTTAAATATTAATATTTTTAATTATTAATATTTAAATATTAATATTTTTAATTATTAATATTTAAATATTAATATTTTTTAAATATTTAAATATTTTTTAGAGAAGAAACTTGGTCAAGAAATCTCTAATTAAACATTAATCTGATCCTTTCGAAATATAATATGCATACAAACGGTGCATTTACAATTTATTCAAAATAAAATAGGAACATATAAACTCTGTGATTTTTCTATAATTCATTAATTACGGATTTAAAGCGCAGCTTGCACGATTGCGGACGCATAAGTACATATTTTAGGCGAGGATTCTTTGGTGAATTTCTAAATAAGTTTACGACGGCTAATGAGATTACTTCTGGTCACCGAGTATTATAATCAAGACCCGAGAGCTCGTTGCATTTCCGAGTTGTGTCAAGAGTTATCCGACATTCCGCGCGTGCGTTTCTCACGCAAACAGCATATCGCCGAGTTAGAAAAGGATAAATATTTACGAGCCCTCCATTACGCGTTATGGAATTTTTATCTGGCCCGACATGTAATACGCCGTAAAGTACTTGGCGTTTGCGAAATTTTCTGCGGTATACTCCAAAGAAAAGTTACTTTGACCGTTTTAATATCTTGACTCCATATTTTACTCTCGTTACTTCACTTTCATTTCAGTTATTCTATCCTGGAAAGACGGATATTTTTCATTTCTCGAGATCTCGTTCTCTTTTTTTACTCATCCCGGAGTCATCCGAAAAGATTTGGCTCATGTTAAAAATCAGAAAAGTTAGCAAATCAATAAAAAGGGATAATATATAATCATATTTATATTTAGCAAAATTCCCTCGTAAATATTGTATTTAGTATGTAATATATTTTTATTTAAATTTTGCAATTTTAACATTCCCGGAAAATCTGCAATTTATTAAAATAATTAATTATATATATAATAAATGTA